CCCTATAGAGAGAGTAGGTTATATATGACACACACACACAAATGTTTAGCAGAGCACCCATCCACTCAAAAACTCACTCACTCTAGTAATGATGTTGTAAACTAACTGAACTGACTTTTAGCGCATGAATCAACCTTTGCATGCAGTCTCAGCATAACTGTTGGCTGGTCCTGTCCCCAGGTAACATCAGCGCTGTGAATTTCACTGTGAAGCCATTGGATGACAGAAGAGTAATAGTGAACATCACTGATCCTTTGACCTCCATTTATTATCGTAAGAAGCAACTCAGCATCAGAGACATTTTGAAAAAAGATCTTAATTATAAGATCCGCTACTACAAGTCTGGAAGCACAGGAAAGGTAATCTGATGTTAACACTAAAAGTGAAATGAGTGAAATTATGTTGTTAAGCTGAAAAAATTATACCTTTGTCATGTAATTCTGTTAGTGCTCCACGTTAGGCTTGCTCACACGACAAATATGGGCTAGCAATGGGCCTTACTATGGGTCCCTCTCTGCTTAGTGTGGTCAGCCCATCCTATAGGCACCCACATAGTGGTTAGTTAGTTAGTTAGTTAGTAACAAGTTCATCTGGGCCTTTAGATTCAGGGCCTATGGCTAGTTTCATTCAACACTGGTCAGTATTACCAATGTAATTGGACATCTTCTAAAAATCCAGAACTGCAGCTCTAAGAATTTGAAATAAAGAACAACATTTGTGTGTGTAGGCTAGCTGTTTTCTGCTGTGCCTGGTCTTACCATCAGTCAAATGTTACCCCTGTTACCCCTTAGAGAGATGAGATATCAGACTCAAGTATCAAAGTGATACCAGGGCTGGATGAAGGACAGAGTTACTGCTTCATGGTGGCAGCGTTCATCAGATCCAGACCCAAAGCCACTCAGCAGGGATCCTGGAGCCTGCAGCAGTGCACAGAAGGATCCCAGGACCAAGGTACACATGTTCTACATGCAACTCTGTAAACTATTTCAGCTTTGGTGAATACATGCTGAAATTTGTTATTAGTTGTTTCAATTGCAGTTTCTTCCTCATTAAGTACTCAGTAATAAACAACCAGTGTATTTCAGCATTAGAGGGAGAGTGCTGCCCCCTGCTGGAAATTGAGACACCTTCATTTGGTATTTTGTCAGATTTGATTTGATTCCATTGGCTTTATAGTATAGTTGTTAACACTTGGAGCCTCAACAGCTCAAGATTAGGAGGAGGCACACCCAGCCTCAGTGGGTCATAAGCCAGTGTACTCCGAGTGCTGTATAAACAGGAGGGCGTTGAACATCTGTGCCAAATATGTGGAGTCATCCACTGTGACAACGTTCTCAGACAGAAGGAACTGGCTGACAGGATGTGATTTAAGTTTAATGTCACTCAGGATATTGTTGTCACAGAATTCAGTAACTATCATCAACATCTGCAGTCTTAAACGATAAGGAGCGTGTAGGTGGTAACACTGATTGTCTACATTTCCTGTGGGGTAGAGCGGGTCATGTAGTAATCAGAAGGTTCATGGTTTGATCCCTGGCTGCTCCAGCATGCATACCAAACTATCCTCGGGCACGATACTGATTTATATAAATCAGTATCGTGATTTCCCCCAGACCACTCAAAGTGCAACATGCCACATTCACTTCTATGCTTTTCAGCACTTCCTAGCTAAGACTCACACACATTAGCTGTGTCCCAATTCAGGGTCTGCACGCTTGAAGTACGCATTTTAAGTGCGATTACGTCACCGCCACGCGACGACGGCTGTCCCA